ACGCACGGTTGCAAACAGTCGCATTAAGCAAAGGTACGGAGCCAGACCCCCCCACCTTCCCCCTCCCTTCGCGCAATGCCGAAACGCCGAAGAAGAAAAAGTCACAGTCGGCGCTCGCGAGGGCGTACACCAGGTGATTGGGACTCCCGCTTCTGTCCTGCCTCTGCGGCCCCCCTTTCCACTCGAGCCGCTCGTGGGTCTGGTCCCGGATGCTTCTCAGGGTCTCTTCGGAGGGCTCTCGGTAGTTTTTTGGGTGTAGTTATGAGCCTCTTGCGGACCTCTTGGAAGCTTCTGAGGGGCATCCTGAGGGCCTTTTGGGGGGGCCTTTAGGGGCCTCTTGGACCTCCCGGGGATTTCTTGGGGCGGAGATCTCGACATGTCAGTTCGCGTTCCCCCCCACCTTCTCTGGGATCTTTCTTGGGGCGTTCTTGGGGCCCCCTGGAGCCGTCTTGGAGGCCTGTTGGGCCGTCCTGGAGGCATTTTGGCCCGTCTCGCAACCATCCTGGGGGCCTCTTGTGTTGTCTTGGGGCGATCTTGGGGGCCTCTGGGGCCGTCTTGGAGTGTCGGGAATCCGAGAAGGCGGAAACGCGAAGACTGTTCTGAAAGACCGGAGGGACATCATAGATGTGTGCCTTCTGGGGGCCCTCGCGGAAGTGCCCTTGGGCCGTGGGCCGCCTGGAGGCCATCCTGGGCGTCCTGGAGCGATCTTCCGGGGAATCCCTGGGCCCAGAGGCACGCGCGCAAAAGACACCAAAAAGAGAGAACGGCCAGCCAGGGGGTCCAGAGCGCAGGGCTGGACCCAAACGCTGTCTTGCAGGACCTCGGCTGCCTTCTGCTTCTCCCAGTTCGCAGGGAGGTGCGGGAAAGCAGGCCGAGCATAACGAAAAACAGCACGAAAACAAAACGAAGCAACGTTTAGGTCCAGCCCTGCCGGAGCGCGGCCTGGGCCGGGGGCGCGGCGTCTGCACCTGGCCGGCCGGGGCTTTCGGCGCCTCGAGGGCGCCAGCGGCCGCAACGGCAGCGAGGTCACCACACCGAGATCGCCGCGGTGTGTGCTGCAGTGGAGACCCATGCCAAGAAGCACCCTGCTCGCCTCCAGGGTGCCCTGGGTTTCTCGGGTTTTGATGGTTTTGCGATGGGAAGCGTGACTTTCCCACACCAGAAACCAATGGACGTCCTGGGGTCTCGGGGTCGGGTTTCTTGTGGAATGTTTCTTGTGGTCGGGCCCATATTGTACAGTCGGTCCGTATCACAAGGATGCGCGATAAGGATGCAAGGGCCTTGGAGGCCCATTCCGAAGCTTTTCGAGAGGGGCGAGCCCAACGAAAGTGGCCAAGGATGGACCGAGGAGGCAAGGACGCAAGGGTACCCCTTGGGAAGGTTGCCCATCCTCACTATGCGGGTGGACTGCAAGTTGGACGCCAAGGCGCTAAGGTGGACGTGGGATAGTCTAGGCCTCCTAGATGGGGTCGGAGTGGATGGGGTCGGCGAATCGCGCCGCATCCCCGAGGAGTCGGCGGTGCGGCTCGGTGCGGGGCCCGATGTTCTCCACGCCGACGTCCGATGCGTCGCCGACGTCGGCGGTGCATCGCCTGGCTCAGCCTGGCGTATAAGAGAGTTGCGGGTGCCCTGAATGGTTGAAGGGGTTGATTACCTATCTGGGCTAAGTGTGCTCCGACTGTTTAGCAAAGTGATCGAAACCCCCGAAACAACTCAGGGTACCTGTAACCCACTTGTGAGCCAGTTTGGGGCAGATATGATCCACCTCAGCATCCACTTCTACCCCCCCTGATTCCCATCAGCGCAACCGCCGCGATCATCTCAGCGGCAGAATGATATTGGGGATTGGTTCCACCGTGACGGCGCCAGCGGCCGAAACGGAAGCGGGAACAGCACGATTCAGTGAATTCGTTTGTTTTTCCGCTTTGCGGGTGCCGTCGTTCGAAAGAGATGCAAAAGCACCAAGGCACAATGCATTATTTGTTTCAGTTTTCAGGGCGGCGGCGGCGGCCAGATCAGAGGCGAGAGTGATTTAGATAACCCATCCGAATAACATAGCCATTGAGTGATTCAGATGGCTCCCGAGAAAAAGTAAAGCAAATACATATTTTTGTTGATTGGAATTTTCAGTTTTGGGAGCTTCAGACATTCTTGGGAGAAAAGATTCCGAATTCGGATCGTTCGAGCCTCTAGGTGCCTTATGGTTCCCTCATTTTAAAATTTCAACGTTGTTGGGGGTCGATCCGCATCGCGCTCGACCTTTGGGGCGTCGCGGGAGGTGAGGAGCCCCAGTTCCTTGCTCTCCGTGGTTCGTTGCCCCACCTGTTGCTCGATCACACCGCCAGGACCTCCCGCCGCATCCCTGCGCGAGGAGGATCAGGACGAGGAGAGGGGCGGAGCAAAAAGGGGCGGAGGTGCAACAGGAGGACCAGCAATTGGGAACGCACGAGGAGCATCGAAGAAGAAGGAGAAACGGCACGGCAATTAGTGTTCGCGGCTATAATTTTCGGAGGTCCGCGCGGATTTCTCGAATCGGCGTTGGGCCCTCTGGCGGCGCCCCATCGTGCTCTCGCCGCGCCAGGGAGGGGGGGGTCCAGCGCCGATCCAAGAGATCCGCGCGGAGCTTCGAAGGTCCACGTTTTTGCGCAGTTCTTCCTCCTGCCTCTACAGCAGGAGGAAGAGACAACAACAACAAACAACAACAACAACAACAACAACAACAACAACAACAACAACAACAACAACAACAACAACAATCATTTTACCCGAACGCTCAGTGTTCTCACCAGTGCCAGGGTTTTCATGCGACGCGAGACAATACCCCCACTTCGTGGGGGGGCAGTTCAAGCTCTACCAAATATCCAAACGACTCTTCGCGACCACCCAAACCCAGCTTCCCGCCCTATGACGTTGGGACACTTCACTTCGTGGCGTGCGGACGACCGTGGCTACTACACTGGCGTGGGGTACACACCCACAGAACTTGGTCACTTATTCGGGGCGCGCGTGTGCCCAGCATCCTGCAATTGTGACATACAATACATGACACAGACAGACAGAGAGAGAGACAGAGAGCAGACAGAGAGAGAGACAGAGAGAGCGGAGTTGGTCACATTTTTGGGGCAAGTTCCTGAGATCGTCGTGTTTTTTGTTGGTCTTGCGCGCGCGAATGTCCACTTTACTTTTTTTTGCAAGGGAATATTGATTATGTTAGAACAAGAAAAAGTAGCTCGCGCGAGCTCATGTAACATAAATGTTGAAAAACCATTGGTTTTGTGGGAGTCGGACAGCGCGCGCGGGATGAAATTTGGACATTTTTTTTGAAAAACCATTGGGTTTTTGATGTTTTTATGTTGAAATCGTTACGAAACCTAAGGTTCTGGAAGGATTTCGTCTTGCGCGCGCGAATGTCCACTTTACCTTATTTTTTGCAAGGGATTATTGAAATTTGATTATGTTAGAACAAGAAAAAGTAGCTCGCGCGAGCTCATGTAACATAAATGTTGAAAAACCATTGGTTTTGTGGGATTCGGACAGCGCGCGCGGAAGGACATTTTGACAATTTTTTCTTAAAAAACCATTGGGTTTTTGATGTTTTTATGTTAAAATCGCTACGAAACCTAAGGTTTTGGAAGGATTTCGTCTTGCGCGCGCGAATGTCCACTTTACCTTATTTTTTGCAAGGGATTCTTGAAATTTGATCAAGTAAGAACAAGAATTTTCATTTTCTATTGTTTTTTGCAAGGGAAAACGAGCGTCAACAAAAAACCGGATCCGGACATCCCACTTTTCTGAGCTTTCGCAGAAAAATGATGAAAATGTAGCTGCGGCCTAGGTTTTGGAGGGGGGTCGCGCACCAGGGGGCCCAACAATAATTATTCTTTAGAAGTAATAATGTTCAACAACAATTACTAGCACGTGGGGACACTCCGTTCTCACCAGTGCCAGGGTTTTCATAGGAGGCGGGCAATACCCCCACTTTGTGGGGGGGCCGGTTCAAGCTCTACCAAATTTCCAAACGACTCTTCGCCACCACCCACACCCAGCTTCCCGCCCTATGACGTTCGGACACCTCACTTCGTGGCCTGCGGACGACCTTGGCTACTACACTGGCGCATGGGTACAATGACTTGTTGTGGTAACATTTTCTGTAAGCTAGCTTAGTATACGACTTTTCCCCCTGCAATTGAAGATTTCGGCGTGCGCGCGCGAAGAAAAAACGAATGTGTCCCATATGGTATTATTTGACAGGGATGATGGCCCTGGCAGGCGCGCAACCGTTGTTGCAGAAGTTCGAAGCACGTGAAAAAGTTGCTCGCAAGAGCCCGTTTGACAGAAATGTTGAAAAAGTATTGGGTTTCCTAAGAAATCCGCAAGAGCGCGCGGGATGAATTTTTGAAACTTTTTTTTTGAAAAACCATTGGGTTTTTCATGTTTTTATGTTAAAATCGCTACGAAAACTAAGGTTTTGGAAGGATTTCATCTTGCGCGCGCGAGTGTGCACTTCGTGTCATTTTTTGCAAAGGATTCTTGAAGTTTGGTTATGTTAGAACAAGACATGTCATTTTATATTGTTTTTTGACAGGGAAAGCGGGCGTCAACAAAACAACCGGATCCGGACTCCCCCGTTTTGCCTGAGACTTCCTCACGAAAATGATGAAAATGTGGCTGCGGCCTAGGCGCGGCGAGGGGGGCGTGCACCAGGGGGCCCAACAATAATTATTCTTTAGAAGTAATAATATTCAACAACAACAACAACAACAACAACAACAACAACAACAACAACAACAACAAAACTGGAGGGAAACTGGAGGGGGGCGCCTTCCCCTTTCTCGTCTTCCTCCTGGGGAAGTGAAGAGGAAAAGGGCGAGGTTTGCGCAGATCCGCGGCAGTAGTTGGTTTTTGCCGAGGGATTTTCGGAAGATTTGTTTCTGCGCGCAGGCGTGAGCGAAATGACACGACAAGTCTTTACCCTAGGGCAAGTATATGAAGGCATACGT